GTTGTCAAACTCTTTGCTTATAACTAATGACCAGTAAAGAAAACTGTCAGATATTTTGATATGCCGTTATATTATAGTCAGTTTCGAAGAAGGATTAAAACATCTAATTGGACTACTGATACTACTGTCAGATTGAATAGTCAGTAGCGCTTGTAAAACGAAAATGTTGTAGGTAGCCATATATCATAGATCCATTTGTACGTCTTGGGTCAGTGAGATCAGACTGATTAAAATTCGACAACAGCTTCGAATTTTCCAGTCAAATGAAATATACAAACTATGAGTGGTTGTTAATAATCGCATTCATCGCACAACCATAAAACTCTGTTTTTGATATTATCTCTCAGTAGAATATTTACCAAATAGCAATCTTACAGCTTTGATAACCACAATCAAATAATTTACTAAAAAATCACAGCGAGTAAATCCTGTGGTTTCAAATCGTTTTTATAGAATTTTCCTTAATACAAATCCATCTAATTTCAAACTATCATACGGTAAATAAAGTCCTTAAAAATAAACTTGCTTAAATGATTCACTTTAGACAATGAGGAACATTATTGATGAAGTACATGCATTGTTATACTAAACGTACTTGCGTATAGTCAAAATGAAAAACTCGGACACTAGCTACCCTGGGTTCATTTAACAACAATAAATTAAATTAATTTGTATGTATGACTTTCATAACTAGTTGTTACTAATCAAACTCCTTTTAGAATATTTATATTGCTGAATGTATATGTATTTCTCTGCTATTGTCTAACACAAATAGGACACTTTTCGAAGATACAGTTTGTCTTAAGGTTCAGTAGCATTTTTAATTACTTTGTTAACATGTGATTTTGAGTATGGAGTTGTAGAGATTGACGAATTTCATTGATCTAAGTTAAACCTCCACTGAAAATCTGGAAACACTAGACGGATGGATTGATTGAGCTTAAATACCAACACCGCTGGATTCCAGCTCACCGCTCTAAATTTAGGTGTTTGCGTGAGAAATCGAGGGTCCTGGGCTCGGTTCCTTCATGACTATTGCTGAAGAGTCCCATACCAAGACAAAAGGGCTGTCCAGTGCTTTCAGGTTTTCAGTAGTGGTCTATCTTATGTTTTTTCGTGATTTCAATTATATTTGTAATTAATTCACTTATAATTAGTCTGAACATTTAAATGATTTGACATTAGAACCAAATTTCTTAAGGACGATTATCAAATAAACTATTCAATGAAATTTTTCCTGACAACTGTTAACCATCACGAAAATGTAGTGCCAGGAATTCGTTGACATTGGTACCAACTACCTTATATTACAATATGAAGCTTAATAAGATCAAAGCTAAATGCTAATCATTATAATTCTACTATCAGTATTATTATTCAACAGATAATTCTTAGTGTGGGAAGTACGAAGTAATAAAAACTATACTCTCATTGTAAAATCTTTTAAAATATTATTGAGAAATATCAATTGATGGTGTCTATCGTATTTATTGAAAAATAAATATTCTTAAACATTGATTCATTTCGTATTGCTCCTATCCAAACTATACAAATTAAGTTTGTCAACCAAAATTATTCTGGTGGGAAGCAGTGACCAGTAGAGTCCAACCAAGTCTGTTGTAGAGATATCAACTCACTGAAGACAATTGGTGAATGGTTGCTCAAACATCATGGATTGGTTGAAGTTAAACATTAACACCGTTGGATGCAGGCTCAGTGGTCTGTCGGTTAAGTGATCTGGCGCGAGACTGGTAGGTCCTGGGTTCGAATCTCGCGAGTGCGAGATCGTGAATGCGAACTGCTGCTGAATCCCACAATAAGACGAAATGGCCGTCTAGTGCTTCCAGGTTTTCCATGGTGGTCTAGCTTCAATTGACTCATGATTTCAACTATCAAAGTAATTCCCTCAAAATATTATAATGCCTAGTTACAGCAGGTGAACAAATGTAATGTAATATATTTAATAAAATATTTCTCCTACCACAATATCTTTCTTTACTTAACTTCAAATGACATTATTTTAAACTGAATATCTGTATGCACTAATTTTTCGATATTTAATAAAAGTCAATTAGTAAAAACGAATGATTCATTGCACAAACTTTTTATTTAAAAAAGGGTGTAAAGCAAACAATGAATTTTCTTTTCAATTACAATTTAAACTACATTAACTTCAACCGACATTTTATAACTATTCCAGTTATGTATAGTGACTTTTGATGGGTAAGTTGAAAAACAAACAACATTATATCTATACTAATGTACTGCATATCAGTACAATCAATAGTAGATATCTTAAAAGTCAATTCCTAGTTAACAAGATTAAATGTTTTTTTTCAGACAATCTAACAATATACTTTTTAAATAAAAACAGAACAAATATTGATGCAGAATAATATGAATTCACTATATTTCGTGGTTTCTCATCAGCTGCTTACAATCAAATATGTATTGGGATTTTAGCATTGAGATATTAGTTTTATATTGGTTAATATTTAGTTTTTATTATATTCCTCTTCCATTACCCAATTCTTAAACCACCCTTTCACACATTTCCGCTCACTTGTTTCTCTTAAATTATATAAACTCTCCAAATTCTATTCAATTATTACATAACCCATCCTACTTGTTTTTAATTCCATGACTCCTTCATTACCTCTAAAATTATCACACATTTGATCTTATCTGTCTTTGAACTCCACTCAACTATTACACCACCCACCCTTTATGCTTCCTTCATGCTAATGCCTAATAACCTCTGACCTTTTCTTACACATATATATATATATATACTTACTTACTTACTCCTGTTACTCCCAATGGAGCATAGGCCGCCGACCAGCTTTTTTCAACCTACTCTGTCCTGGGCCTTCCTTTCTAGTTCTATCCAGTTTTTGTTCATTCTTCTCATGTCTGTCTCTATTTCTCGGCGTAATGTGTTCTTTGATCTTCCACCTCTACTTTGGCCTTCAAGATTTCATGTGAGGGCTTGTCTTGTGACACAATTGGGTGATTTCCTCAAAGTGTGACCAATCCACTTCCAGCGCTTCTATCTGATTTCTTCCTCCACTGGAATCTGGTTTGTTGTCTACCACAGTAACTTGTTGCTGATAGTGTCTAGCCATCGGATCCGAAGTATCTTGCGTAGACAACTGTTAATAAACACTTGTATCTTCTGGATAATGGCTTTTGTAGTTCTTCACGTCTCCGCCCCAATATATATATATATATATATATATATATATAGTTATCATTGATAACTTTTTGTTATTCCAATCCTTTACATTCAATTATGTCAATTGTTCCACACTATTTATTATCTCAATGCTAAAATTCTAATACATATTTGGTTGTAAGCAGCTGATGAGAAAACACCAAGAAATATAGTGAATTCATATTATTCTGCATCAATATTTGTTCTGTCTTTATTTAAATTCATAAAGGGAGTTACTTGCATGAAATATACATTTTGATTAAAATTAATCATTGTTTCTCTTTTATAATTTGAAAACAATGAATATTAACATTTTCATAACAGTTTGTATTGTCAACTGTTAACCGATATTTTGTTTTATAATTTATTAAAAACTTTTTTAATGTAAAACATTTTAATTTTAATTTGTTAATTTTTTATAGTTGAGATCATGAGTCAATTGAAGCTAAAACACCATGGAAAACCTGGAAACACCAGACAGCCGTCTCGTCTTATTGTGGAACTCCTAATTAGTGCGCATCCACGATCCCGCTTAGCGAGATTTGAACATAGGGCCTATCAGTCTCTCGCGCAAACGCTTAACCTTAGTTGTTATTACTGTCTTTATGGAATGTGACATGCTTTTGTAATTTAGGAATTTCTTTTACGTTTTTCTGATTTTTTTCTAAGAAAAATGTGTTAATAATCTGATTGTACTTATATTGTATATATAACAGGTAGGTAAATTGAAAACTAGTCATCCGAAATGTAAATAATTATATACAGGCCAATTAATCAACAACAACAACAAATTTTCACTCTACTTTTATTGTAACATTTTAAGTAGGACAATAGAAAAATAAAAAACATTTTCAAGAAACTAGACAAAAAGAAAACAGTCTAAAGCATAATTGATGTGAATTTATAGAAAAATGACAGAAAGAGAAAAGTGAATAAAATTGAAAAAACTAAATGAAATGCCGATAATTTGAATTTATTGATTATTTTGTATAATTTAAGGTACGAATTGATCTCATTTTTAATGGGTACTTTTCTAATATTGTCTTGATTTTACAGATTTTGATCATGGTTTATTATCGGCCAATTAGTTAACAATAAAGTCATTGATTTTCACTGATAATTATTTGTTTTTAATTGATTGAGGGAGGGGGGAGAAATTTGAGGTTAAAGTTGTTCTATAGGAATATACCCAAGGTAACTAAATTAAACTGGAATACATGTATTATTCTAAGATAATTCATGAGGAAGACTTATGTGTATGTAAAATATATTTGTGGAGTTCACTTAACTCTAAAGAATTAGTTGACAAGGAAATATTGGTGAAAAATAAATCGATTATGTTTCTTATATCAATCTGTATCCACTGTGAAAGGCCAGATATCAGAATCTCTGAAATAGTAATTTTAAAATGTTATCTGTTCCAATAGTTTGGTTTGGAAATATTGTTTATGAAAATGGTTTATTCATGAAGATCACAAGTTTTCAATTATTGAAAAATCCAAAACACTAATACTATCGACATATAGTCAATGGTAAAGTCGAGTATACTGTTTTAGATAAAGTTAATCCAGTTTATGGCATAATGTTTTATAAAATTTTTATTTTAAAGTAAAACTAAATTATATACGAAATATATAAACTACTAGATAGTAGTATAATTTTTTACTAGTTTGTTTCTTAAGTTTATTTTGTTAGTTCAATTGAGTGTGATAAATTTTCAAGGCTAAAAAGACATCATATGTACTTTAAGACGCGAAAATTTGATTTTATTCTATCTATCACTCACTAAGTAATTTGCCTCGAACTGTGATAGGCAATATTCTAGAACTTCCTTGCATTGTTTACGAAATGTAGAAACGTATGATTTTCCAGTTTCTAAGCCTGAAGGTGATCTATGAAAAAACAAAATAGTGTGTTAATTTACTCAGAACATTGATAGCTCGTGTTTTTCTAAAATGTTTTACTCCAAGAGTGTAGTTAAATTATTTTTTATCCATAAAAATTTTGAAAAGACATCACTGGTAATTTGCTAACTCTCAATCAGTCATATAACAGAATGCTCATATCGCCACGTAATCCACAACAAACCAAGCCAGAATCCTTTTTTAGTTACTTGACCTAGTGAACCCAGTATTTACTGGAACATCCTATCAGAAAATTGGCGGATTGTATTAAACATTTGGCTATTATATTTATATCTGGAAGATAGTGTCCTGTTTTCACCATTGAAACTTACCGTGGTCAAAACTAATGTCATGATATTTGTCTCAGTGAAACGAACAACTGTAGACTGTCTACATATATAGGATAGGTCTCTTGTTTCCAACGTTTTTATTCTATCTATATTAGAACAATATCGAACAATTTGTCGAAACCTTAACATCTTAGATTGCTTTCTAAAGCTCAAGGGTGATCAACACCTATAACTCACATTTTGAAAAAGGTTAAAAGTCAGTGGTTATTCCTAGTTTATTTGTCAGTGAATGTTGTGACTTTATAAAAGGCCGTCGCCAATTTGTTATGATTTTATAAAAATAATAGGCCGTATGCCTATTCGTCATGATTTTATGTCCGGCTTTTAACACGTGATTTATTCATCAATCGAAATACGCCTTTTCCGACAACTGGAAAGAACTGGAAAGGAAGGCTCGAGACAGAGTTGGATGGAGAATACTGTTGAGCGGCCTATGCTCCTCGACGAGGGGTAACAGACATAAGTAAGTAAGTAAGTAAGTAAATCAATAACGTTCGACCAGTATGAGTAGTCTAGCATTTTTGTTGGTCCCTTGTCCGCCTAGCCCCTTCAATTAGGTCCAGAACACCGATTACATCTTCCGCTATGCGAATCATTTATTTCAAGCATACTTGGTTTATATACCAGACAGACAGACCACATCAAACCATAAAATAGAAAATACTATTTGTACAAGATCAAGCCAAATGTGGCTGTGAACGTGGGATACAATAATCAATGAACTGAATATAATTTGGGAACAGTAAATCGTATAATGATAATTTATCGGTCAAAATGAAACATATAATGACATGAATATAGATATACACAATCTAACTACTCAATAGTTAAACAATAAGAATATATATAGAATAATAGTTAATTAGTAGGTCCCGTAAATTACCCGTACTCATGTCTTCGCTAGGATATAACGATTATTGCCTGACATCATATACATTTTCCTCTCCTAACTCTTAACATTTACATTATTTTTACATCATTTTTAAATTTTAGCTTTAATCATATCAGCTTTATTAGCTTTATCACATCACAACTATAATTACATATATATGACTTTTAAAAAGATTTCTATTACCAGTCCGATATAACATAGGGTTTCTTAATGTTATAGAAACAAAGATCATGATATATTTCTCTTTGGTTTGTTGATAATCTTGAATACAATCATTTTTGGTATCCGTAATTTCTTTAAACAATTACACTAAGTATACCAAATATATTATTTACTTATCTATGATACTTTATTAGCTTTTGTATGCATCACTGACTAAGTTCTAGAACAGTATGCTCATAAACTATTAGAAGATATGTGATTCCTTCTAACTTATTTATTATTGGGTATCAAGATTTGTTCCATAAAAATATTTCATTGTACTCGAGATACATAATGAATAAATATTTGTGACAAAGTAGAAGCTCTTTGATCCCTAAACCATATGTATTCGTTAAATAACTATGAATTTTTTGAGATTTGTAGTATACTGTTTAAACAATCATATTTTGTATATAACCTCAGACTCTTCAATATATAGCCTCTCTCTACTCATTGATTAAATACTCTAAACTAAATGAAGAATGAGTAATGAGCCCCCAATTACTTGGTTAGGAAAAGTCATTTTTCCACTCTAGTGTTAATATATATGCCGGGTTTAACACTTTTTAATGTCAAATTATAGCTTCTTTTTGGATTCTTTTGAGAACACTAATCAACAATCAGCTTCCTTAGAATTTTTTCGTATTTATGGGTCACTTATGCTTGAAAATAGTAAATTAACTAACCTTTTATAAGTCAAATGAATTGGATATTTTAATAAGGTATTTGCAAGAGCATCTGTCAAGTGTGATAATATTCGTTCTTTTGTTTTCACATCAATCTTAAATAGAAACAGGTCAAACAAATAAAAACAAATATTATCAGAAGGGGTTTTGTAGATATTATAGTAATTTTAATAGATGAGATCATGAATCACTTGAAACTAGACCACCATGGAAAACCTGGACGGTCGTTCCGTCCTAATATGGAACTCCTCAGCAGTGCGCATCCACGATCCCATCTCGCGAGATTCGAACCCAGGACCTATCAGTTTCAAGCGCGAGCACTTAACCATTAGACTACTGTTCAATTAAAAGAAACATCAATATTTAATCTCAGTCAGTAGTGTTAGTAATATTATTTACGAGGTATATTCTTGTGTTAAATCGATTTATTCACACTTTTCTATATTACTATGTTAAATTTTTCTTTAATATTGATAAGTTCAACTTATTTTATCTTTATATGTTAATCTTTGTACATTAGCAACTGAAAGTCTTGACTGCATTTGAGAAATATATATATATATATATATATATCGTTGTTTATTTATATGGTTTACGTTATGAATAAATCAGTTTTTTTCTGAACTTATTTCATGGCATCAGCACTAATCTGTTTTCGTAGAATTACAAATTGCTCCCTCGTAAAACTAGATTATGCAGTAAAACAGTAAAAATCTTGAGAATAAATTTAATTTATTTTCTGTTAGTTATTCAGTAAACTGTATGAGATTAATTATGCAACTTAAATTCTAGATATGTAGCTTCAAATGAGTTTCGACTATGAAGCGTTTTAAATGTCAACCTAGTAATCATTATAAATGGTCGATAACCAAGAGATGTTCTTTAACATTGGACTAATTAAGACTCCTGTTTTTAAAGCCAATATTTCAGCTAAACTTAGAAATCTCAGATTAAATTACATGTGGACCTTGTTCTGATTAAGTATTGATAAAATTCTCAATGAGATACAAAAATATTAAGCAATATTTGAAATATTAAATTCAAAGGATATTCAATAATCGGATATCATCGTATGCAAATATTTCACACTGTTTATTCTGATCATGTTTATCGTCATACACTTTTGTATTTAAATAAATACAAATGTAACTGTGAAGTTATTTATTCAGACCCTTTTAACATCCTCCAATTGGAGGAATGTCAGTGAATGCTAGAAATCATTAAACTCGACTTTGGAAGCAGTTACCATTCGGACAAAACTCATTAGTTCTTTTCACTCTCATCAAGTCTAATATGTGAGTATTAAATCAGATTTCCGATTCCCGAACAGAGGGGGAATTGTGGAACGTGTGACAAACTTGTTCTAACTTAGGTAATAAAATTTCTTAGTGATAAATTTGTTGTAATTATTCATAGCGTCTTATCAAATTGGTTTATAACATATAAAGAGCCAGACAGTTATTTCTACAGGACTTCAAGTCTGTGGATTCAGTGGAGTCATAATTTCGTATTCACTGAACATGAGGTTCAGTTTGAACTATCCGGTTGAAATTATTAGATACCAAAACATGCTTAAAGTTTTAAATAAATTAATATATTTGCAATATTCCAATGAGTAGGAAATTTAATTTTTCTACCCGATTGGATATTACAAATATATTAATTTATTTATAACTATCTACTCAATGCTCAATTCATTCAAAATTATGCTTAAAGTTTGTTCGCTTTCAGTTTCATAATAATTTTAGTAATGTAGACTATTTCAATCAGTCACAAGATTTAAAGTTTATTGAATGAATAAAACCATGGCAGTTTCAGTATCTTGGATGCCCATAAATTTGTTTCTCGATGCAGGAGTAACATCAAGAATCAATCGACTACATAGACTTAATAATGATAATGATTTATCTGAGCTAAAATAAACACCTTTGGAACCATAGTAGAAGGCTTTGTAACTGATTTTAAGAAAGAATTTAAGGACATATAGTTTATTTGATAGTGTTTTATCGAGGAATTTAAATGAAATTAATTATCATTATCCATATTATTAACATAAAATAGACCATTTCCTAATATTTTAATAAACATAATTGCAGTAGAAAAAAAATAATTTATATTGATAAATGATCGATGGCGTCTATTTATCTTCGAGTAATGAGAACTTCCTGGAAAACAATATTAGATAATACAGTTTTATTTTAAAACCGGAAAGTAGTAATCAGACAGGATATTGATCACAACGGGTCAGTTTAAAACCTTTGCAGAATAGAATGACTAGTTATTATATTATTCAGAAGTAATTTTGAAGGAATTAGCATATGTCTATATTCATATCAGTAATGTGAAACATATACATTTTTTTCACCTCATATTTCCAAGCCTAGTATTGACGATTTATCGAATTCTTTTTCAAGCTGCAAAGGTTTATATGGAAGGTAACCGAAAAAAATTTGCAGCTCAAAAATTATATGTATATGTAATCAGATAGCATCAAACAATGGTTAGAAATAGAGAAAAAGAGTAAACTAATAGGTCAAACAAAACGAACATTATCCTTGATGACGATGAAAACAGTCGTTATTTACTGTTGTAGTGCCGCGATTCGTTAATCGTTTACTTCGATAACCGTTATGATTCTAATCTTAACGGTGCGTAAAATCAGAAGACAAAGGATAGCAGCAACTACAATTTATTGTCGAATAACTCAGGTTCGAAAGCTAACAACACCTGAGCGAATATGAACGAGCAAGTGAGCGGCAAGCGAGAGAGCGAGTGAACAGGCGAACAAGCGAAGGAAACGAACGAGGAGCAAGCGAGCGAAGCAAAGATGATGTATAGTGGAGATGGCTGGGAAGCCATCTCGAGAGCGAGGCGAAAGATGATGCGTATTGGAGATGGCTGGGAAGCCAACTCGATTTAAGCAAGCGTTAATCAACATTTATAGTCGGACAGAAATGAATGACAGACATGTGATAGGTAGGATAAGAAGGGTACATACACATGCGCTCATATAACAAGGTAGTCAAGGTTAGTAAGCGAATAATTAACAAGATCAAAATATGACTCATAATGGATAGGCGAATTGGCTTGGCCAGCAACTAAAATAAAGTATATGGGCTTAACATATAAACTGATACTACACTGTCTATCAGCATTGGTATCAGTCAGTCAGTTACAACGTAGAACTTCGTACGTACATCAGTTTGAGTTGCCATACCACATTAGCACAGAGATGAAGTTGTCGATTCAAATCCCATAGTGGTAGAAGTAGTAAGAGTATAAGCAGTAATGGGAAAGATTAGGGTTTGAAGATGTTATTCAAGGAGTTTAATACAGTTAAATAGATTTGAAAAGAGAAAAAGGATAGAGACATGAAGAATTCAGAAGATTAGAATTTGGCAGAACACGAAGAGTGGATGCACCTTCGCCATTGCAAACGATTTTGAGCCATGTCATTCAAGGTCTATAACCATCGATTGCTATCATCTCGCGAATCCCAACCAGGTAGTCTACACCTACCAACATGGCCCAGTCCACTTGTCAGTGACTTCATGGATTTGTGCCACGTTTTCGTCTGGCTGCCCCTAGCTTTCTTCCAACCTACTCCTACATCATGAAACATTGCACGTCGGGGCAGTCGGTGGTTGGGCATACGTAACACATGTCCCAGCCATCTCAACTGATGAAGTTTCACTACTTCATCAATCGATTTGCCATCCTTACCTAGTACCCGTTTCCTAACATCTGCATTACTTACCCGGTGGTCCCAGGATATACGAGCGATGCTTCGAAGACACTTATAATCGAATACTAGTAGTCTACGAAAAGTCTCTACTCTTATCGGCCATGTTTCACTGCTATAAAGTAGGACGGAACGAACTGCTGCACAGTAAACCCGTCCTTTTGTTGCTAGACGGATATCTCGCCTAAGTCATAAATGACGCAAGTTGGCGAAAGCTAGCCGAGCCTTCTGTATCCGTGCTGAGATTTCGTCACTCACCAGACCACAAGGGATGATGAGACTCCCAAGATAAGTGAAGCATTGGTATGCTCAAAAGGAGGACCTAATTCTCAATAAAAACATCGTATAGTTTTAAAAAATATTCTCAACTAGACAGACCATGTTACAATTTAATGTACTCGTAAAGCATAGATGACATTGTAGTGAACGCTTATCATTTGTAGTGAGATGTCTGAAAAGAACCCAAGACAGAGTTGGTTAGTGAATCCTGGTCGGTGGACCATGCTCCAGGAGGTGCATAAGGCGTAAATAAGTAAAATATGCGGCTAACTGCTATTGAAAATTTATTTATAGAAACAGAATTTTAGAAAATTTAACACATTAAATGAATTTAATAATTACACTAATCATCATACAGCAAAAAATCTCAACACTAATTCCTCCCAATTTTGTTTTAATCATGTAACCACGAACCTCTCCCGATTTCCAAATTCTTCACATCCTGTTGTCGTCGCTTTTGAGTTTCAATTCAAATATCACACAAATAGTATAACTACTCGTTAATAAATCTATGAGTAGCTGCTTCTTCAGTGTTGTTTTTTGTTCGCTCAAGTAACTGTATGGTTGTTTACTGCAATTTAAAACAAAGCAGTATTCTCAAAAAAACATATCTCCGTAGAAACGGTTACACTTATATCCGAAAGTTTGAATAAACTATTACAAGTATCACTGATAATTGACAAAACAGCTAATCAACTATATTACCTAGGATGTTTCTAGCTTACTTTACACTGATCTACACAGCTGAGGACACCGACTCACAAGTAACTACAACTTGATATTCAAATGTACACATGCATCCTAAATACGATAAATGATTTACTGGTTTTAAATTGATCAATTCTGAAATAAGAATTAATCACTTTATTACAAAACAACATTGGACATTTTTCTATTCTAAAGCATATTCTGTACAAGCCATTATTATTTTCATATTGTAGAAAATTAAAACGTTTAACAACAGCATCCAAAACGTATAAAAGTCTGAAAACTCTTAGCCAGTCTCCCAAGTACAACCATTGGTGTAATAGTTTGGTGCTAAATGTACTTAGCTTTCGATCGGTGAGTAGAATGTTAGGACGCCGCTTTGCCCAATTCAGTTTGAACACCTGTGAATCGTCCCGGGATCTAGAATATAACTTATGCCCGAGAGCATAAAGCTGTACTTGGTAAACAGGTTGGAATATAATCAACTAAAGAGAAATGTTGCTTTTAGTATGCTTTATCAAATCAATGGACATGCATTTAACCAGTTTTCTGTACTTCTACTCTCTGTATTGTTTCAGACAGACCAATGTAAATTATAACTGTGTTACCAGAACAACTGACACCCATTACAGATATAATTAAAGCCATTAGCCATCGTTGTATGGGCTCGATTGAAGACTGTCGCTAATTCTGGGGCACATGTTAAGACTCAGATTGTGCTCTAGTTTGAGCACGTATTTGTCTTAGTGGACGTAGAAAGGCCACAGCATGAAAGCCATTTAGAGTTCAACTTAATGATGAAAAGTTAAGAATTTACTTCAGAAACAACTGGAGAGGGTGCTAGCCAACCGTGAAAATGATATCCACTTCGAGGTGGCTCTGTATGACATCCACAAAGCTATGGAAACGGCAGTGATATCTACTAGTAACTTAAACCAAAAGGCTAGGAAAGTCGGTGGATTTCAGCAGTGTCTACAAAACTGACAGATTATCAGAAACTCATACCATTTGGTTCAGAACACAAAGAGGAGCGGAGATAGCTTAAATGTAGGCAAAACAGAATAAATGGAAAAGGCAGCAGCGATAAATAACAGCCGACAACTGTCCAGACTAATCAAGCAAATAGGTATTTGGAATAAGACTGTCAGTGAAAACATCACGGAAAATGACGGGATTACTAGTCATTCTTAATCGAGATTAGATTGACGGGCAGGACACTCTAGAGAACAGTTCGACTAGCCATCAACCACCCACCATATCCCAGCAACCTGATGTAAGTCCTTCAACTCTTAGTGAGGTTGAAAATGCCATAAGTAATCTGAATAGACTAACCGTTGAGATTTTTAAGGACGATGATCTAGTTTTAGTAGTTTAATTAACTGAGAACAGGATGTAATTCCACCTGACTGGTTTCGATCGATGATCGTCCCAGTTTATAAGGACAAAAATCCTTATGTAATAATCACAGAGGAGTCAAGTTAACGAATAGTATCTGAAATATTAGCTTCAGTAACACTTCTACGTCTAATTAGAGCTCGTGAAGAGCAAACCTGAGAAAATCAGGATAATTTCAGACTTGAGCGTGGATGTATATACCAAATACCTTTCGACATCCTACTAGTTGTATTCTTTGACCTTAGGGCAGCATTCGACTCCGTTGATCGTAAGGTTCTATGGCACTTCCTGTCAATGAAAGACGTACCAAAGAAGTGCATAAACCATGTACAGGCTCTCTACTCGAACACTACTGGTCGAGTCAGACCTTACGATGAACTGCCGTCGGAATTGGTTACTCCGAACTGTGTTCAAGATTGTCCGCTTCATCCACTTCTATTTAAGTTTGTCATAGACGTGTTCTCAGAGATAACACTTTCACTGTGACTTTCCAGGGATCGATCTTCCACCAGGAGATTCACTTGTTGACTTGGAATACGCAGACGATATAGTTCCTTTTGGTGAAGACGCTGACAAAACGTAGTCTTCCGACCACCTTAGGCAACAATGCAAACACGTTTAGGATGCGGTTCCCTCCCTCCAAATGTAAAATGTAATCTCAGGATTGGCTTAGGTTACCACCTGAATTAGTGATAGGGAGTTAAGTAGTTGGACGCATCGACCACTTCACTTATCTTGACAGTCTCATCACTACTATTGTTCTGGTGTCTAACGAAATCTCGGTACGGGTTCATAAAGATCGACTGGCCTTTGTTAACTTTTGCCACTCGTGCCATAGATGAGATATCCATCTTCAACCAAAGGGAAAGTTTGCTGTGCAGCAGTCCGCTCCGTTTTACTTTATGGATGTGAAACATGACCATTAAGAATAGAGGATGTTCGTAAGTTACTAGTACTCGATCATAAGTGTCTACGAAGCATTGCTCGTGTGTTTTGGGACCACGGAGTAAACAATACCTGGGCTAGGAAGAGTACTAGGTAAAGACGATAAATTGATTGATGAGGTAGTAAACCTACATAAACTAAGGTGGTTGAGACATGTGTTTCATATGCCCAACCACCGCCTATCTCGACAGGTTTTGTTTTCTGGTGCAGGAGTAGGCTCGAAAAAAGCTAGGAGTGGTCAAACCAGAACACGGCATCAGTCAATGACAATTGGACTTCGCCATGTGAATAAATATGGACTATCTAGCTGGGGTCTTCGTGGTTATCGTAACCAATGGTTAGAGATTTTGACAGACTTGTCTCAAAATCGTTAGGAATGGCGCACGTGCATCCATTTTTCGTTTTCCCCCAAATCCTGAGGTTCTAAATTTCTTATTATCTTTTTTGTTTTCATTTCGTTAGTTCATATTTTCTTTTCGAGCAATATCTTCGATCCCTAATCTTTCCTATTACCTCTGATACTGTTACTAGTCCTACTATTCTGAGATTCGGCCTGACAATTTCGTCTCCCTGTGCTAAAGGAGGATGGCAACTTGAACAGATGTACCTACGTACAAGTTTTACTTTGTGGCTCACTAATTTAAAACACGATACCTCAACAAGATAAATTCATAATTTAAATCCATTTCAAGTTTTTTGTTAACAAAGAAATCTACCTAAAGAGAAATTAAAAGCAAATAAAGCACAAAGTATTTCGATAAAACAAAATGTCCACTTTTAATAAAACTGATTAATTTATATCACTGTTTAGTAACATTAAAAATGTAGTCGATTTTCCCAAGACAGTAGAGGAACTTGGAAACAAAAGGCATTTATAATTACGAAATAAAAAGAAATATCTATACATTTAGTGTTGAAAGGGTTAAAGAAATTTTCGGATACATAATTTTTGTAAGGATAAGGAATAAAATATATTTATCGTCGAAAGTAGGAGACAAATGTAAAAAGAAAATCTCTTCATCGATAAAAATAAACATGGGAAGCATTATGAAAATAGACAAATAGTCGAAAAACATTTCAGAAAACAAGTACACAAATTATATACACTAATGAACTCAAAGATTTGTGAAATAGTTTGCAAAACTAAATGCATAACATGAATAAAGAAGAGGAAAATCACCAATAAATGAAAGTATACAACAAATGGTTCATGATCATTCAAAGCTATACAACCAATGAAGAAACTAAACAAACTTTTTTCAACACAAACTAAATGAAGCTTATTACTCACTGAAGTACTTTCAATATTATTATGTTTAAATGGCTCCGATAATCCAATATCGGTTAACTGAATAATATTATGTTTCAAACTGAATGAACGTCCCAGATACTGAATAATATAATTAAAAAATGCACCGGTAGATGTGAATTGATGGAAATTCCGATGCGAAGAATTTAATTCATGAACAAAATTATCACATAGTTGATTATAAACCTTTAGCCAGAATAGAAAAAACATGATGAAATTATTGAATGATTTTAAAACAACCAGAAGATAAAACTAGAAAGAATATTTCCATAACTTGGGTCAGTCAGTTAATGTGAACTATCTTAATATTCAGCAATCAACCATGCCACTAGTCACAGGTTTCAAGGAAAATCCCCCAAAGTCCCATTGTGAAGCAATTTAAGCGATGAAATTCAACTATGTGAGAGACAAGTATCGCAGATGACAATGGATGATAGTTATGTAACATTGAGGATTGAGATTGTTGACAGGGTGTCTGTCTGTATACTGCAAAGTTAATACGTTTTACATGCTTATTAGTGGGGCAGAAGCTTACTTGACTTCATCGAAAAATCTTATCAGCAAACTTCAACATAATAGCTTTTGTTTTCAGTTAGTAATGAGAGGATCCACACAAAACCAACTTAATACTAACGATCATGTGTTCACTAGTCAATAGTTTTGAAACAGATTTTCCGAAACTCCATTGACAAATCTTCAACTCCAAAACTTAGTCGATTATAGGGAGGCAGTAACTCTCCGACATATTAGCCAAATATGATCAATTGAATAAAGCAGAATGTGAATTATTGGATTCAGCTTAAGGAGAGCAGAGCTGTATCCGTGAAGGTATGAAGTCGTGTATGTGCGGACCGCTAAGGAATTTAAGACTAGAGCGAAACAGTTGTATAATACTCTTTAACTTTCCCGGTAGTTTCTTTCGTTCACGCCAGTTTATAATAAGCGTGCATTCAACGATTGTCCTACTATTTAATTAATCAACCTTAAGCTAATTACCTTTTCAGTGAATTATGGATCAATAAAAAATACCGGTAAAAAATCGGACACAAGTAATTCCCTGAAGTTATGTTACCTTATGATATTATCGAAGGTCTATAAGAGGCAAACTGCAGAAACGGAATACTTATTGGTACATCATTACCATTCAATAAAATATGTTCGTTATCAACTTATCGATGCATCTGGTTGCCATAATAAAGACATTTAAATATAATCTCCATGTTAAACACATGATGTTGCTCTTTGGTGATTATATTTTGCACAATGCCTAACTCAATCCTTTGCTTTTGAAAATAAAGGATCTTATGCGCAAAAGGTACAGAACACTGAATCTTACAGGTACATAGGTGTTAGAGTAACTTACTTTGGCGACTACTGATCTAAGACGATGTGGTTTGAATGCTAAACGGTTTCTTCCAACTAATTCTTACATTTAAGATGTTGTATAACGACAATTACAGATAAAAATGTATTTGATGGACAAATATATTGAAAGAAAATACTACACTCTGAACGTACACACATTCAAGATATAGCCCATTAAAGTTCACTTACGTTATTCCATAGTGATTCTGGCAACAGACTGTCACGTTTAAGCATTTTTATTAAGAAGTTATAATGCTTCTTTTGCTCAGTATGTTTAGATAATACAGGCAAGGAATTATCTCCATATGAGGATATGTTGACGGTAACACTGTTAGTGGTGTTTGCAGTAGTGGGATGTTTTGATAGAGGTTTTCTCCGTGTTTTACTACTTTTACCATTATTAATATTATCAAACAAGTGTTTCGACTTTTCATTTTGATATGGAGCATAATTAGTAGTTAGTAGATAGTAGGCTAAATTTTTACAATGATCTAATGACAACATGTTGATGACTGTACAAATGAAGAAAATGACAATACTGATCAAGATGTCTTCATAAAATTGAAAAGAACTTTAAAATATTCTTTACAATCCATGCAAACTCTCTAATTTAAAATTACAATAAGCTTAGTGAAAAGAAAGTGTTATGATATTGGTTTTTTTAAGTTGAGGAGAATACAATGAAACTAATAGATAGAACTTAACTAAATTACTGTAATTCATTTGTACCAATTACAATCAAATGTATTCGACGTCAAGCCAAGATTTTGATGTGAAGGATAGTACTAGGAGGCTAGAGTTCTGACTGCTTTCTACTCTGGTTATGCTGAAATTGGAATACAAAGGTTGATGCGTTTTGCAACAATCGACGCTAGCGGACAGATCGAGAAGGCGATAGGAGAATTCATAAGTAATTTGTATATAAACTCATGATTTTAAGGCTGTATTTTTGTTGATCAGGTTATTGGAATAGATGTTATTCGCTTGCAATTCTTGTTTTGATTTAAGAAAATTAGAATGAAGTATAGTGGTCATGGAATACAATACAGTACGGAAAATAAATGGTAATAGGTTGTCTCATTGTCCTAACTGAAATAAGTTCAGCACAGTGACAATCTGCTACCAAATAGTCGAAAGTATGTTGTTTTAATCATCCAGTAATCTTTTCATGCCAGATTTTAGTTTGTTATTCACTCAAAGATTTCTTTTGGTTTTATCCATAATGACCCATGTCGATTTACTTATTTCTTCCGGATGAAAAACGTCTTAACAAAGAACGACGCACCTGCAAGCGATATTCTACGTTGCACATTTAGACTGTTTCCCATGAACATATTATGATATTTTAAAAACATCTATCGGAATATTGTTTGACGCCTCATCGATAATTTGAAATATTTTAGGCCTTGAAATATCATAGCCAGTCGATTAGATGATTTGAAAATTGATCGAAAATCCATGTGACTAGTACGACAAGTAGTACAGTGTCAAAGTGTATGGAAAGATAATACACAAGATGGTTTAGGAACTAAGTCTAAATCTTTTACTAACACTAATCAGTAAAATATGCGTAATGAAAATAATTGGTGATATTTTGCGTAGCGATTAGCACTGGAACCCATAACACACCCTTGTTCTTTCATCAATTTGTATTGCTTATTTGAACTTTCCCATTGATGTTTAGGACTGCAATTGATCAGTCTCTTATTGGCATATGTGCAAACTGAGCGGATTGTCTCAATGCTGTCTTTACAAGCATTATAAATAAAAATGGGTGGTCGGTAGCAGTGAAATCCAGGACGCGGGTTTCGTCCTATTTTGGACGTCTGCTTTAAACACCACCGCGTTAACTACTTAACTACTGAGTCTTAATAGCCACTAGCTTGTGCAGTGAGATGTTAATCAATTGCAGTCCTAAACATCAATGGGAGGATTCGAACAAACAATACAATATGAATCTATAATTCATTCCATTGCACAAGCTAGTGACTATCATGACTCCGTAGCTAAGTGGATAACGCAGTGGAGTTTGAAACGGACGGTACTGGGTTCGAGTCCCAGAGTGAACACCAACTCTGGGGTGCAAGTACATCCAGCTGACGGATCCAAAATAAAACGAAACCCGCGTCCTGGGTTTCACTGCTACCCACCACCCATCTTTGCTTATACCTCTGTTCTGTTTGATACTAGCCACCTGAATAAAAATACAATGATAAAGTTATTCTACAGTTAGAATGGAATTTATGTGGATAGAAGTAAGACTTACAATCTATAAAAATTCTCCGATAAATCAGTGTGTTGGAGTATTTGGACTTTTCAACCCAAAGCAATAAAGTTCTTCCAAATTACGGTACCGATTTTCATGAAAGACAGTCTGAAATGCAACACAGTGTAAATGTACAAGATTTAACATTGTGCAGGAGGTTCTGTAAAGAGTTAACTGTAATCATCTGAGAAATACGGACTCGAATTCCCGTCAGATTGAGTTTTGCAATAGGATGCGATTGATAAGAAGTCGTTAAATTAAGCTTCACGTATTTTAGCACGATTCACAATAAAGCATTGTTTCAGTCTTAAGATCTTTGGAACCCAACCTGTTTATAGTTGGAAAGATGACATAATAATTCACAAGACTGAAGCATTGCTGATCCTATGCGTCACTAGACTGAGTACACAAATCGGTTGCTAAGTCCCTAATAATGGGTCGGAGAATCCCTTTGTTCATCGGAGACGTGCTTGTATTTTATTGATATGTAAAACCCAAACGACATTAATTGTTATAATTATTATGTGACAGATATCAGTTTACGTCAACCTTTACTTTAAGCTTGAATGGTGTTGGGTAAACATCTTAGTGTTAAGCTTGATACTACTACTCAAACCTGTTAAAGGAACTGAAGGAACCTGGCTTGAGCTAGATATTTCTAATGAACACATCTACTCCGGTGCTACCTTATTGAATGAGCTATCATCTAATGAGAAGACTAGCCATTGAAGCGCAAGCAAACATTAAATTGAATGTAAAACATGAAGGCACTTCTCGTAATGATAATTCTTAGGGAGATAAGAGGAAGGAGAAATGTGAAACTTGGACAGATAATTTTTGGCGAATTAGTTGGTGCATTTTAATGATTATTTATCAGACGGTCATGTTATGAGGATTGTATAGCCTTACTCATAAGTTACCATTTTAGCTTACTGGCTATACATTTGTTAATCAGATTCGAATCAAAAATATATTACTTATGTATCTATTAATATTTGTATTATGGCTGTGTTGTGGTCCCGTGTTCTTTTCATTTAATACCTTGAGTTATGAATCTAAACAAATAAAGGTAATTTCGATCACTCCCTAGGGTTCTTAGTGTTCTAATCGGAAGCTTAGGGGTGTGGAAGTTTGCAAGGATAATTAATTTTGTTAATAAATTGAGTAACAGAGTTAGTAAGCTTACTATTGGAGGCGTAAATAAGAACAGAAATAATATAAACAAAGTTAAAACTACTATTAGTAATTATCAATTCTAGCAATAATAAACACTTACTAGTGAAGAAGTTCTACAAACTGCTATACAAAATTCGAATGCATCTGTAGCCAATTGTAGATGACGTTTATAGTTAGCATCAAGATTTTGGACTTTATCCCACAGGGATTTCTTAAATGTAACATAAAAAAGAAATAAAGCTTAACATTTACTTAGTTGAAAGTAAAAATCAAATCAATTCGAATTCTAAGCAAAATGAAACTCAACGACTGAAAGTCAAATGCTCTAACCACCAATTCGACATTGATCCATTCAGAATTATACGAACAGAACGCATACGATTAAGATTCACCACTGGTACCAACCTATAAGGAGTTTCAACGATAAGTCTCCAATTAGTGTAACGAGATTATGGGTAACAACTCGGGACCACATAGGCTTTGCTGAAAAATACAAGAGATGTAACAAAAAATCGCTACAAAACACTAGCACCTTCACGAGTTATTCTTTGTTTTAATTGCCACATATTTTCATGAGGCGCTATTATGTCTTCTCAAAACTTGACGGCTTTGTAAGCGAATGATCCCGAAGCTGCTGGTGGTCCGAAATGGAGCTAAGTACTCTCCAGATCTGTTGTCTAAATAACCTAAGTTTACTTGAAAATTGATTTAACTAAGTGTACAGATGAATTCACCAATAATCTGGATGTAGCAGAGGAATGTTTGATTGGTTTATCGTCAGTCTCATACAAGCTATCAAATTTTGTTGGTCAGAGGTATTGGTATACTTGTGAATTAAGATGAACTGTTCATAAGATTGCAAGAAATCTTTTGTAAGACAAAATTTTAACGGAGTCGAAATGGAGATTTAGCAAAGTATTTAACAATAAGTAAAATGATAGTCAGTCAGTCAGCTACAACGTAGGACCAGGCACACATATGCATCGGTCCAAGTTGCCATATCTCATTGGTACAACAAGATGAACACCAAATTCATAGTAGTTAATTTAATGGTGGTAATATATAAAAGAAAGATTGTATATAAGGATATAGTACAGGATGAAAGACAGATACGAAGCAGTTTTAATCTCAAGGTTTAAGGGAAGATAGAGAGTGTATACAGCCCCCCCCCCAAAACGGCCGAGAGTCTGCTCTCCCTCTCGAAATGCTCTCATATGGCCACGCGAATATATAGCCTCTGCCAGGGAAGTCCTACTCACTGCCTTCTCGTGGCGGGGGTGTTGTTCACAAAAGTGAGAGGACGAAAAGCGAATGTCCGGAGCTTTAACCGGGTTGGTGGATGTGGAGGATCCACCTAGGGGAGTTGGAAAACCCTGATTCCAAACCAATGGTGCACATGGGCTCCAGTATCCTGAGGGAAAAAATGGTGTACGAATCAATCATTGATCACCGGCTACCATGAGACTGCATCTCCTCACGATGCTCCACTGCCTTGTGGACTAGACCTTTAGGTTAAAGGGTCCAGGTGTGGCCTCCTAAGAAAACCACCTGCTTCAGTTTGGGCACCTGGGCAGCATCACAGCCCTCACACAAATCGAATGAGATTTGTGAGGCGCATATATATCTGGTGCTTCCTTGTACCAATATTTATGTGTTTAAATAAATAAATAAAATAAAACATCTACGCCATTGTGATCGATTCTGAGCCATGTCACCTAGAGTCTCCAACCATTGATTACGATAGTCACGCGGACCCCAACCACGTAGTCTGCATCTGCCAACATGGCTCAGACTAGAGGTTAGTGACTTCAAACACTGATGCCACGTTTTGGTTTGGCCGCCCCTAACTCTCTTCCAACCATCTCCTATACTAGTCAGCATAGCGCGTCATGGTGATCGGTGTTCAGGCATACATGACACGTGGCCCAACCATCTCAGTCAATGAAGATTCATCACCTCATCAACTGATTTACCATCATTCCCTAATACCCTGCGTCTAACCTCACTATTACTTACACAGTGATCCCAGCAGATGCGAGCAATACTCCTAAGACATCTGTGGTCAAATACTAATAACTTCCGAGTACTTTCTACTCTTAATGGCCATGTTTCACAGCCGTAAAGTAGAACAGAACGAACTGCTGCACAGTATACTCTCCCTTGATTGATAGACGGATATCTCGTCTTCGACATAGGTCACGCAAGTTGGCAAAAGCTAAACGAGCTTTCTGAATCCGTGCCGAGATTTCGTCAGACACCAACCCATTAGTGCTGATCAGACTTTCAAGATAAGTGAAGCTGTCGACGCGTTCGACTACTTTACTCCCTATCCTTAGTTCAGGTGTTGACGCAGGCCAGTCCTGGAGTAACAAATTACATTTAGAGGGGGAGAAACGCATCCCAAACATCCTGGCATTATTACTCAGTTCTAACAGAAGATTCTGCATTTTGTCAGCGTCTTCACCAAACAAGACTATATCATCTGCCTATTCTAAGTCGATAAGTGGTCCCCCTGGTAGGAGATCAATTCCTGTAAATTCAGTCGAAGAGAGTGTTATTTCCAGCAACAGGTCTATAATGAAGTTAAACAAAAATGGGGATAGTGGACAGCCTTGACGGACACCACTTGAGGTTGTAAAATCAGATGACAATTCGCCATAAGCTCTCACTCGACTGGTAGTGTTCGAGTTAAGAGCCTTCACAAGGTTTATGTACTTCTGAGGTACACCTTTCAATAACAGACACTACCACAGAACCTCTCGGTCTACTCAGTCAAATGCTGCTTTTAAGTCAAGAAAAACTATCATTGTCTGACGCCAATAAGCGTGTCTGTGTTATGAAATCTGACAAATGGTGAATATATGGTCGATATAGCCACGACCACTTCTGACACCAGCCTGATTTTCTCGTGTTTGCAGTTCACGAGTCCTAATTAGGCGTCCGATAATTATTGAGGCAAGTATTTGAGATACTATATTAGTCAAACTAATCCCACTATGGTTATTACAGAATGATTTTGACCCCTTCTTATATATTTGGACAATCAGCGATTGTGACCAGTCAGATGGTATTCCATTCAGCCCCCAGAATTTATCTAAAATATTAATCAACCTAATCGTTAAAACTAGACCACCATATTCAAACATCCCATGAGTTAATCCATCTGGACCAGCTGCTCTTCCTTGTTTCAGATTACCTATAGCCTTTTGAACTCCAACTAGATTAGGGGGACCTACTTCAATGTTCCATTCAGACTATCTGGGAATTGTGGGTAACTGTAGATTAGCTGAAGGCCAGTTAAACTGTTCTCTAAAGTGTTCTATCCATCGTTCTAAACGTCTGGACTGAGAGCAGATAAGAGTTTCGTCTTTTTCCGAGACTGTCTCACAATTGACTTCGTATTTCCGGTTTCTTTTACTAGTCTGTAGAGTTGTCTGGTGTTGCCTACAGCCGCTGCCTTTTCCATCTTTTTTGCTTTCTTTGCCCACCACTGCCCACGATCGTTCCGTAGACTTTTAGTCAACCTAGATCTGACTTGTTTACGCTTTGTCGTGTTCGGAGCCTGATGGGATGAGTTTACACAAATCCATCAGTGCAATACACTTAGAAGAAATTCATTGGTATTTTGTAATCCTTTGGTTTAAATTACTATAAGATGTTGCTGCTGTTTCCACAGCTGTTCGTATATCTTCCCAAGCAACACCTGGGTCAGTCTCGTTTTCAGAACTGCCTAGATGTGAACCCAGTCGTTCCTGGAACTTACTTTTGGCTTTCTCGTCCCCCAGTTCAATCCTAATGGGTCTTCTTAGTGTGGTTTTTCTGAACCCACTAAGGCGCAAGCAAATACGTGCTCGTATTAAAGCGTGATCAGACCAAACATGTATTCCAGAACGAGCGACAGTCTTCTATTGAGCCTCTCCAAAGATGACTGATGGCAATATAGTCTAATTGAGTCTATCGTTGGCTTGGTGCGGGTGGACGCCATGTTAGACTATGTCTCTCCTTATACTTAACATTAGTGCCTACTAAAAATAAACGACTGTTTGAACACAATAGCAGCAGACGATCACCATTATAAGTTCGCTGAGCCGGAATACCAATATACCAACCTAAATGTCTTTCTGTTTGGTTTAAGCTACCTACTTAGGCATTAAAGTCACCTACTACGAGTACTATGTCTAAGCGCTTAGCTTTTTGACGAAGTTCAGAGAGCTTTCTGTGAGAGTCATCTTTCACTTCATCCGGGCTGCAGTCAGTAGGAGCGTAGGCAGAGACGATGAAAAGGCAACGACGTATGCCCCTATCCTTCCGAGTTCTTACGGAGCCATTTAGCCGGACAGCACACAGGAGACTGTTAACGGGGATCCGTTCTAATAGTGCTTGTTCTACCGTTGTACTAAGTCCTGTGCCTACACCTGCAAGTCCACGAGAACTAGTCATAGGATCGCCAGATACACGGATAGTGTATTTCGTTGGCTGTCCATTTTGGCGAGGTTAGGTCAAATGAATGACCACACTAGGATCCTGTATGTGTGTTTCGGAGACAGCATACATCAGTTCTAGGGTTTTAGCCAGGGAGGCCTGCTGCCCGATTTGACATAGGGTACGTGCGTTGAAGGCTTCAATGCGTAGTTTGGAGCGAGGTTTTAGTAGACCTGTGAGTGTTTCGCGCACTACAATCGTTGGCCATGGTGACACTTGAGGAGGAAACCGAAAGAGGAAGTTTAGTGTTGAAAGTCGAGTTAGAAGGAATAGTAGGAATTGAAAAAGGAGATTGATTATGAATACAGTGATCTTGAGTGTTGTTAGAGGTATGAGGGCAGTTATCACTTCCCGGTTACCCACACTGTGGAAGGGTTCTTCTAGAGGTACCTGAAAAGGAAATTGGGTTAGAAGTGGTCTTAATGACCTGAGAGCGTGACCGCAGTGCCCAAGGAATGACTGCTTGAGGTTGGTCACACCACCTTTTTGTATTTTTTGTGTCAGCTCCGTACTTCTTGAGACCTTACCGCCAGGGACGGATATCCGTGGGATAGGGCAGGGTGTGCATTTTTAGGGTCGACCTTTTCTAACCTGTTAGGATATTCACAGGAATATTCCAAAATTATCTCGAAAGTAAAGTCGTATGTTTTCAGACTCTTCACATATTTTGCATGTTATTTTCTATTGGTCATTAATTACAGTTGTCCTAACTATGACTTTCACGTGTCGTTTTCCTATTAGTCAATTTTGAGTTGTCCTAATTATGACCTTTACGTGTCCTTTCTTTCCATTGGTTACTGTTCATAGTCATTTTAACTGTATAAATATGCCTTGTCTGTGAACCATTTTTGTTCTGCTGCTGACCCCATAAACAATTCTCATTTAACGGCTGTGTTCTGTTTTATTGGAGTTGGGGAACAGTACTGGGGTCGAATTAGGATATCTGAATTTGGTCAATCGGTAGAATTTCGTGTAGTCCTATTGCAATACGTAATATTTGAGCAATTTATAACATAACCCCACCCTTCCTTGTGGGAAGGCAGCATCACTTTTATGCTCGTTGTCTGAAGGAAACACCTTACTGCCGTCACACCTCTGTACAGTCAGCAGTACGACTTCGCCTTTGGACCTTGGGTTTGCTGCTTTTAGTCTTACCGCTCTTCAACTGACCTGTCTGGCGTGGTAGGACCTTGAGGAACGATTGTTTTAGCCAGTACAGCTCGATCGGTTCATCACGATAGGCAAGCCCGATCACCATGTCAAGGTAGCAGCAACGGTCACGGAAATGATAGTTTAAGAATATTGGAGATAAACTGATTGGGTAGTATGGTAAAGGTTTACTAAGAATTTACAAAAATAAAGAAGTGGGAAGCCAGAACTTGACACACTGAGTTGTAGTCATGATTGGATGAAAACTGATAAAAAAAGAAAGCTAATCACACGTCGCTTCAGTCACGCCAGGGCAGTTGACTTTTGTTAAACGCAAAGATTAGGTTTTAGTCTCCTAGTTGTTACGATCTCTGAGGACCTCAATATGACAGAAATGCGTTTTGTACCAGTTATTTCGAATGCTTTTACTTGCATGCCGTAATCAGGTGGTGTGCAACCAAAATACAAAAACTGATTTTGCAGATACATGTAATATGTGTATACACACAACTCAAAACTACGATTAGGTTTTCGTGAAAATATTTCTGAATTTCGTGGTATGTTTTGCATACTGGGTTAGATACTCGAGAAATTGAGGTCCCTATTCTATTCATTGGCTTTTGATATTTAAAGCTACTCAAAAATTTGTTAACCAAGCTCATTTTAAATATGTAAATCCAATGCAAAGTTACTTTTCACAGAAGAGCCTACATAGAAGCGTATCTTTTATGAGCCCCCAAATACCCTGGTGCGGCCGAGTGTCAGTCAGTCAGTCAGTTAAAACGTAGAACTTCGTACGTACGTACATCAGTTCGAGTTGCCATACCACATTAGCACAGAGATGAAGTTGTCGATTCAAATCCCATATTGGTAGAAGTAGTAAGAGTATAAGCATTAATGTGAAAGATTAGGGTTTGAAGATGTTATTGAAGGAGTATAATACAATGAAATAAAGTTGGAAAGAGAAAAAGGATACAGACATGAAGAATTCAGATTAGAATTCGGTAGAACACAAAGAGTGGATGCACCTTCGCCATTGCAAACGATTTTGAGACATGTCATTCAAGGTCTCTAACCATCGGTTGCTATCATCTCGCGAATCCCAACCAGGTAGTCTACACCTACCAACATGGCCCAGTCCACTTGTCAGTGACTTCATGGAGAGTAAGCTCTCCCTCTCTAAATGCTCTCACATGACCACGCGTATATAGCCTCTGCTAGGGAAGTCCTACTCACTTTCTCTCGCGGCTGTGTTGTTTACGAAATTGAGAGGACGAAAAGCGAGTGTCCAACGCTCTAACCGGGTTGGTGGACACCGAAAGTCCACCCAGAGGAGTTGGAAAACCCTGATTCCAAACCAATGGTGCACATGGGCTCCAGTATCCTGAGGGAACTAACGGCGTATGAATCAATCGTTGGTCACCGACTACCATAAGACTGCATCTCCATACGATGCTCCACTACCTTGTGGATCAGATCTTTAGGTCAAAGGATCCGGGTGTTGCCCCATGAGAAAACCACCTGCTTCATTTTTGGCACCTGGGCAGTATCACAGCCCTCACACAAATCGAATGAGATTTGTGTGGCGCATATATATCTGGTGCTTCCTTGTATCAATATTTATGTGTTTAAATAAATAAATAAACAATCTTTTATGAACTATTAAAACTAAAGTTAGATAAAAAGCTTTCTCAGTTTAGGGTTGTGGAGATTATTGAGTTTGAACTTACATCAATTCGGTAATAACGCACATTTATGCTGCGTCATATCTATTTTACGAGAGCTAAATGTGCCGCCTAATTGTTTAAAAATTGATAGTTAAAGCGGGATCGGAACTAAAAACTTATGGTTGAAGCTTCAGATGTGCTTGTTTAGTGACGAACTTAAATTTTGGCAGATAGTAAAAAGCACTACAACAACAAGCTGTAACTTACGTTAATTGGATTCAGGCAGCAAGAAACACAATGCTCGTAGATAGAACAGCAGTGATTAGATTTGCATGAATTACAAAAAAAGCGTTGTGTTACGTTTTGAAACGGGCAACAACTGTTTGTCGGGAGATTAAAATAATTACATAGATATCCTAGTTCGTCAACAACAAGTATGGGACTTTGTTTTGTACGGCGGCAAGTGGCGTTCGGTGACGAGGGCCTAATATCTAAAAAAAGAATTAAACAGGAAAATGGACCGATATAAAATTGAAATAAATACGATCGAAGTGAACTATTTACTAGAATGTCTTTATTCAGCCAAAGGTGATTCGACTAGAATATGAGATTAATCTATGGAATCAGTGTGTTGGTCCGGCCCGAGTACGAAAGTGCAAGTCTGTTGGAAGCAACTGCCAAGACTGCTGAGAATGATCGGAAACCATCCATCAATATCTCTTAAAATCGCTAACCATTACGTAAATATATTCATTTTCTACTTCCCTGTAAATCTAGAGGAAGGTATCACTCGGCAGTTCTCATCCCATAATTTTAACGACTTTCGGACATTTATAATTTAAGCCTGTTACTGCTGATGGTAGTTCTCGTGAACAAATATTTGCTGATCACAATCACTTCTATAAGTTAGATCTTAATTTTTCTTCTTGCCATGTCAATACTATCAAGTTTACTCGGTTGTATGTTTTTGTTTTATTGAGCTGATGTAAAATGTGGCAGATTGTATAGATTTACATTTTGCCAGAGCTTACGTTGATTATTTCAGTGTCTGATACTTATGAAGCACACCATATACCAATTTAAAAAGAAAATATATTGAAGTAATTCTAAACAGGCAGTACACCTGGTGGATAAATTGTTGTAGACAAACAAAGAAAACAAAATAACATTTTCAAACCTTGTAACTCTTACCGAAGTATAGCAGTTCAGAAGAAAAACCTCTACGTTTAACAGTGTTCACGCTTCTTTTATGATTCTAAGGTATGTGTGTTAGTAAACTTTACTCACAAACATTATATATGTAGGTAGGACACAGGATACATATAACTATAACGAACGCGATGGCCAAAACACGAGAGTGAGGGCGTGTCATGAAATTGCAGTGATGTGACATTGCCTACCGCTGATAAGTCGTCCTGAAGGATGAAAAATCTGGTCAGAAATAAAAACCCCATAAAGACTACGACTAGTAACCTAACTTAATGACAAAAGAATTTGGTGAAATTCTGCAAACGTATATTTAAAATTTGGTAAAACAGGCTAATATGCAATTAATATATATATTGAAAACAATAATGGTGAAAAAATATTCTGTCAGCAGTATGTTTCACGCTGAGATTAGGGATTCTTTGTTGGCGAGTTCCATCCCATGTATATTTGCGGTAACATTGTTGTTGTACTAAACATTCTGGTAGGAAGCTAGAGTCATATTAAAGTTGCTTGAAATAACTAACTCCAGTTTCTTAACCAAAATGGTTAATACGACGATAATATAAGCAATTAGTCCCTTGGATAGATTTGAATAGTGTAGTAAGATGGGGATCATTGGAACTATGTGATATATTAGCTCAATACTTTTCGAACAATCTGGTCACACATATACTTGTTAAGGACATTTATATGCAAAGTCTAGTTTACATTTGGCGGTGAACACTTTTCCTAGATCAATGGGATTGTTATGTGTAGTTCTTTAGGATCATTATTAGCTGTTTTATGGCTTATGTTAAAAATCTAACTGAATACGTAGTCGGAGATATGTCTCTCGATAAGAGAAGTTTGAATGACAATTAATAACGGACTACCCATAACAATCCCATTGATCTAGGAAAAGTGTTCACCGCCAAATGTAAACTAGACTTTGCATATAAATGTCCTTAACAAGTATATGTGTGACCAGATTGTTCGAAAAGTATTGAGCTAATATATCACATAGTTCCAATGATCCCCATCTTACTACATTATTCAAATCTATCCAAGGGACTAATTGCTTATATTATCGTCGTATTAACCATTTTGGTTAAGAAACTGGAGTTAGTTATTTCAAACAACTTTAATGTGACTCTAGCTTCCTACCAGAATGTTTAGTACAACAACAATGTTACCGCAAATATACATGGGATGGATCTCGCCAACAAAGAATCCCTAATCTCAGCGTGAAACATACTGCTGACAGAATATTTTTTCACCATTACTGTGTTCAATATAAACATTTATTCCCTGACCGACGATAAGTCATATGACTTAAGCCTTAAGTGTTCTATTTAGGTTGATATATATATATATATATATATATATATACCAGTGTCCATATTTGTCAACTCTCTCCCCGCTAACAGTCTCCTAGAATTAGACACAGACATGGTGAGGAAAATGCAGTCTGGAAATGGAAGGTAGATTCAAACGTGATGAACATGGAATCAAACGTCAAGTTAATGAAAAGAGGCTAAGTATCGAGTGAAGTACATTCCGCACTTCTGCATCATAGTCTTCTCGTGGGACGAAATTTTAAGGCCAGTGTGTTTACGTTAGGAGTATGAGGACTTCTAGTTAGCATTCAGCAGCTTTAAGGTTAGGAGTTAAGTGTCAAAAGATGTAGGGCTAAGATTAGAAGTTTGTATGTATTGCAAAACTATGAACTCTGGCTCAACTTATCAATCTTTAGCACCAACAAGTTTATCAATTAAATAAAACACTTAATGTGATCTTATCACTTTTTTTTATTTTAGAGCTTTTACACGAAGGCTACATTCTGAATTGCCTATTTTAATTGGTTAACCTTATGCTCACTCCCAAATTCGCTTTAGGTTTTCGATCTATCTTTTTTTCACTAAGAAAACTCGTACGACCAACCACTTTAAGCGTGGAATACCACGTATATGTGGAAAAAAAAGATAACGACGATATAAAAGACAGTCATCGATTATTATGGAACAACATGAAGTTTACTAGCATAAAATCAGAGGATACTTAGCGTCATACCTTAAGAAACTGAAGTAAAATGAAGGGTCCACCACACAGATCACCTGGGTGCCACATTGTTTATATAATTTAATGCGTTAAAACACGGTTATCGTGATTTAAAAATTTAACTTGTTTGTATAACTGTGAAGAACAAGTGCGTTTATGTGTATAAGATTGTGAGTTTCTATCTAAAAAGAGTTATGAGTTGAGTTTTGCCTCTTCACGTGACTACATTCAATTTGATTTTTCAGTTTTGCAATGTAAGTGGTCATGTCCTCAGCTTTTAATTCCCAGCGGCAGGAATGTCAGGCCACTTGATCTATATTACTCCCTTCGATTTGTATTGCAGTGAAGAACTGGGCTGCTAACTTCTAACTGACGATCACTCAATATTTATTTTCAGGAAAGACGAAGAAGTAAGGAACGGAAATTTGTTGAATTACTTTGTGCTGAGAATTATATATTGGCGCAATACATTTCGAACAATCTGATCACACATATACTTGTTAAGACACTTTATATATTATATATTGTACCAAGAATATATTGAGTAAAGCTAGTAATAATAACCCATCTTTATTTGAATGTATGATATTGTAGTGACCTACATGTGTGACGAGAACGCGATTGGTATATTGGGAACAATTATTACTATAACCAGTTGTACCAGTGATTGTTTTACTGTAGTTGCTCGTTTAACTGTACTGAAGACATTTTTATTTCCGTTGCCCGTGACCTTGCATGAGCCAGAATACGCTCGGCAGTTCCGCCTGTGAACGTTGGCGCGTCTCACTATTCTTCCGACACTACAAGATCGCTAACAAATATATCTTACTTCAACCGTCAACAACCTTCGGGTTTTGAGCCTACCGAGAGAACCAAGTCTATGTCTGGTACGTAATCTCCCTGTAGTGGTGATCATAGTCAATCGCGACTTGATGCCATCCACAATAATACGTGTTCTGGTACAAAATTCCGTAATTCACTACTCGCTGTGATTACCGAAACTCCCGATGTAACTGACTTGATCCATGTTTTTTTAACCTATTTAGACTACCCTCTGAGACGATCATTTCTAGATGGAAGGAAAATATGAGACATAATACTGAAATCATTCGATATACGGTGAACCAGGATCGAGTCACCCCGTGACCTGCAATAAGATAACGTAAATAGGTTGAGGTGTTGCAGTCTGTATTCGTATGACAGACGAGGAGGACCTCTTATCATTTTGGATCCCTACAGTTGAACTCACTCCTGTGTATCCGCTTCATACTTGAAACAAGAACTCAATGCTTGAATCCCATATTCCAAAAAGGATCTCACAAAAGTCGGGTGTAATACCCCAAACATTTCTCCATCGAATTAGTGAAATGACCTACGAATAACCTGAAGCTCTGGCTTTCGACAGTCCTGTTTTCATTGATAGCTCTAAGACCCTTGCCTATTATGACTCCTGGATCTTTAAATTCATTAAGCTAGGATAAAAAATTTCAATTATTGTGTGATGATATGAATCATCACAGTTATTTATTTACATCACCGAACTCATGTTATAATCAGTTTTCAGTGAAGAAATACACATCCATTCAATCAGTGAATTGAGGTCACCCTGTAATGTTATTAACTCCGCCTGTAGCTCTTCTAGGGTTACCGCCAGCCCCAAGCCCGGTTAAAGGATGAGGTTTAGGCACGACGTCAGCAACCCCGTCCCGTAGAAATCAGAACAAAGAAGGAGGTAATCACAACGAATGTTATCCAATGTTATGCACTCACCAATGATAGCAACGACGATGATAAAGATCAGTTCCATTCGAGACTGCAATCAATCACAGATAAGTCCTAAAGGAAGTACCTCACCATCCTGATGGGAGATCTAAATGCTAAAGTCGGAGTGGACAACACAGAATATGAAAATATAATTGGACGACATGGGCTAGGAGAGAGAAATAAAAATGGGGAGAGATTTGCAAATCTATGTGCATTCAACAAGTTCGTTATAGACGGCACAATATTTCCACACAAACGCATACACAAAGCTACATGGATCTCACCGGACTACACCACAGGGAACCAGATAAATCATATTTGTATCAACCGAAAATTCTGAAAGTCAATGGAAGATGTGAGAACCAGGAGAGGAGCTGACATAGCTTCGAATCACCGTCTGGTTGTGGACAAGATGAAACTGAAGCTAAAGAAACATTGGACAACTGGAGAAACAGCATTACATAGGTTCAATACAGCCTTCCTTCGAGATACTGACAAGCTCAACGAACTCAAGATAACTCTCAACAACCAGTTCCAAGCTTTACAGGATATGCTGGAAGAACAAGATACTACGATGGAAGACAACTGGAAAGGAATCGAAGAAGCACTAACGCCAACGTGATAGGAGGTTCTGGACTGCAAGAAGCATCATCATAAGGAATGGTTTTCTATGGAAACCTTGAACAATATTCAGGAAAAAAGAACACAAAGACAGAAATTAACAACAGCTGAACAAAAGCAGATTAAGTTAAGTAACAACCTGAATACACAGAACCAAACAATCAAATGAGTTAACAAGCAAAAGTAAGTGGAAGAGCCAGCAACGACACCGGAAATAGCTCCAAGAGAAGAGTTAGATAATGTTGCTCATTCTCTTTCTATTTCTTCTAGTATCCGACTGGATTACGAAGACCTTCACAACCTAGGAGAAGCATGTAGTACAACGGAAAGCTTGCATACAACTAGACGATTTCAACTTCACAGATGACCAAGACCTCCTATCCCATTCACACCAACAAGTGCAGGTTAGGACAGGGAGTACAATAGCGGCTTTCATAGCAGTGGGTCTCAACATAAACTCCGTTCAAATCAAGATTTTCAAATACGACAACGAACACCAACTCAATCACATTTGATGGAGCACTGTGAAAGAAGTGGAAACTTTCACTTACCTGGTCAGCATCACCGATTAATAAGAAAGATCTGATACACATGTTAAGGCAATGATTAGCAAAGCATGGTCTAGATTCCTACAACTGAAGAACACATGGAACTCAAAACAACTGTCTGCCAACCAACACCAAATTTAGAATCTTCAATACGAACGTCAAGGCAGTTCTATTGTACGATGCTGAAACTTCCAGCATTGCTACAACTGCCATA